CTCTTCTCTGCTCTGCTCTTCTCTGCTCTGCTCTGCTCTGCTCTGCTCTGCTCTGCTCTGCTCTGCTCTGCTCTGCTCTGCTCTTCTCTGCTCTGCTCTGCTCTTCGCTTCCATGCTCTTCGCTTCGCTCCTCTGCCATTCTCTCCCCCTCCCATCGTTAGCTCACCGCACTCACGCCATGCGACGGCCTCCGAGTACCCCACCCCTACAGATGGACCGATTTCATCGCCCCCATACCCATTTATTCATCACCCTCATTCACCCTTGATTTGAAGTTTCGAAGTGGGCAGGTTTATTTTCCTTCCGACCCATGGCAGGCGGGAGCAGGTGCGGAGGAGGAGGAGGAGGAGGAGGCGGAGGCGGAGGCGGAGGAGGAAGCGGAGGAGGAGAATGAAGAGTGGAGGAGATCATGATGGAGGAGGAAGATCAGGAGCAGGAGCAGGAGCAGAAGCAGAAGCATGAGCTGGCAAGAGAAGAGGGAGGAGCATGAGAAGCAGGCGATGAACTCGGAGGAGGCTAGTGGAAAAGAAAATTTGGAAGTGGCGGGAAAGAAACATCTCTATCTTTCTCTCTGTTTCTCTTAACCTTCATCTCGTTGACTTGCTCCCTTGGCAGCGGAAGCCGCAAAAGGCTTGCGGAATGCACTTCGATGCTTCTGGAACACTTCTCCGTACCAGGAGACTGTGCTACTCTGTTCCTGAGGTGAGGGGGTGGTGGTGGGTGAGGTGGAGGGAGGAGAGGAGAGGAGAGATAGGAGGACTGAGCGGATGGTAATTGGGGGTATGGGCAGCAGAAGAGGTGAAAGGAAGAGAGGGGGTGACGGGAGGGGCTGTGGAGGAGGGGAAGTTGCCGAAGAACTGCAACGGGATGAGAGAGTCGGGGAGAGTTGAGCACGGGACATGTGAGAAGTAGACTCGATGAGAGGATGAGAAGAAACCAATGGCGAGGAAGGGAGATGATAACAGGGGCAGAGGAGAAGAGGAGGGAGTTTGAGAGAGGTGAAGGGTGGAAGAACAGGAGATAGAAAGGAAAAGCAGGACTGGAGGACGAGAGGGAGAGGAGGATGAAGGAGGGAGGGAGGGAGGGAGGGAGGGAGGGAGGGAGGAAGTGGACAGAGACGGGAGAGAGCAAGGAGAGGAGGAGCTTACCTGACCTGCTCTATGGCAGCAAAGTCTTGGGCTACTGCGTGATGCTCGGCGGTATCGCCTTCAAGGTCCCTCAGATCCTCAAGATCCATCGCAACAAGTCGGCAGGAGGAGTTTCGGTGAACAAAAACTGCCCTCCTCCCTTTCCTCCTCCTCCCCTTCCTCCTCCTCGTCTTCCTCTCCCTTCTCAGCTTCCTCCTCCTCGTTATCTGCCTTCTCTATCCCTTCCCCCTCCTCGTCATCCTCTCCCTCCTCAGCTTCCTCCTCCTCTCCCTCCTCTGATCTCTCTGTGCAGATCTCGCAGTTTGCACTGGAGATGTGTGTCTCGGCAATCACGCTCTCCTTCAACTACCACATCGCAGCCCCGTGAGTTCTCTGACAGACAGGAGGAAGAGGGAGAAGGAAGGAGAGGGGCGGGGCAGGAGGAGGGAGGAGGGAGGAGGATTGTGATGGGTTCGAACAGGTTCAGCACCTACGGAGAGAGTTTCTTTATCCTCCTTCAGAACATCGTTCTTGTCTTTCAGATCAGGTGAACTTGGACAGACTGAGCCCTCCATGTTTTGTGATGCCCGCCAGGCACTACCAGCAGATTCCTTTCTCCTCCTTCGGGGCCGCGTTTGCTGTCTGGATCGGGTTTCTTGCATTTCTGTACAGCAACCAGGTGAGCGAGTTACCCTCCCCCTCCTCCTCCTCCTCCTCCTCCT